CCTAAGATGTACCACTCTGCTGGGAAAAGCCAAGACAAAAGAATTATCTGACACAACAGTTCAAAGCATATTGCACCTGTCAAAACGTCTGTCATCTTCTATAGAAATGCACCATCCTAAGAGAGAAAAGGGGAAACTTTAGAAAAGTCACTCAGGAACAACAGCTCACTTTGTCTCCTTCCTCTGGCCAACTCCTCCATCTGAAAGCCATTGAGCTAAAGATTGCCTGGAAGGACCAGACAATAGGAAGGTCTCTTTCATTGTCAAGGACAGTTACACTTTGAAGATGACGCTCAAAAGAGGTTAAAATGGGTCAACAAGCAATTGTTGGGCCTATGCATGGACATGTGAAGAGAACATTGTTAAAGTCACACACGTGCATGCATGCATGCACGCGCGTGCACACACACACACACACATACTCTCTCTCTATCTCTCAGACTCAAAGAATTCAACTTTAACCTAGAGGAGAAGTGGGAAGGAAGGAAGGAACTAACACATGCCATCCTGATTTCTTTCATCCCAAAAAAGCGTGAGCTAATCCAGGAAGCTTAGTTGATGGATGACTTTCAGGTCAGATACTGTCATTGCAGACATCCAGCCACACTGTGCATTAGAGAGACAAGAGCAAGTTGAGACCAAGTGACACGATGTGATTTTAGGGAAAGGGCACAGAAATAGGCCAGTGGTGCTAACTTCACATAGGCTATTCTATTTCTAAGTGTGTCTTCTGGATATACATTAGGAAATATGTGTGGCAGTTCATCAAGTGTTTGATAAATGACTAGGAGGATGAGTATATTCCAATAGTTTGTTTTACTTTTGTGTCATTTCATTTTTTGTGTGTCTTTCTGTGTGCCGGTACTATAGCTAGAACTCAAGAGGCTCAGTGACTTCTTTGGTTTTTATTTGTTTGTTTGTTTTTGCTTTTTCTCAAGGCTGGCACTTTACCAAACTTGAGCCCCAGAGCTCCATTTCTGGCTTTTTTTGTTGGTTAATTGGAGATAAGAATTTTACAGATTTGTCTGCCTGGGGCTGGCTCTGAATGGTGATTCCTCAGATCTCAGCCTCCTGAATAGCTAGAAATAAAGGCGTGAGCCACTAGTGCCTAGCTACTTTTTATGCAATTTCTTAGAGACCTTATCTGAGGGAAGCTCACAGAGGGAGCAGCAGCATGAACACATTTCAGCCTCAGGTTTATGAACCAGGTCTGCTTTATACAGGCCATATGACTCCAGACAAATCACATTAACCACTCTATTTTCAGCATCCTCCTGGGTAAACAGGATAACAGTAATGCCATTCATATACCAGGGTGAGGGGCACTAATGAAGACACACTCAAAAGAAAATGCCACAGAGAGAGCAGCATAGCAGAATTGTCCCTAATACTCCAAAGGACAATAATACTAATTCCATCTTCTGTTGACAGATGAATTGCTATATCTATACAGTGCAGTATTAATTATTTCACTATAAAAGTGAACATGGATGAATCTTAGAACTTGCATGTGTTAAATGAGAGAATCCAGTCACAAAATACTACATATCATAATTTCACTCCTATTGAATTTCCAGACTTGGCATATTGACAGGGGCAGAAGATAAATTTGTAGTTGCTTAGGAACACAATGGAAAGAAGCAGACGAGCTCAAAGGTTCAAAATTTCCATCTGAGCAGATGAAAATGTAGTTCGCATGATCTATGGATATAATACTGTGAATATAACAAAGCAGTTAAATAAAAGTAAGATTCATAGAAAAACCTTCATGGCAGAAAATAGAAACAATATGGGATAATAGTGGGATGAAAAATAATGAGATAAAGAGCAGGGTTACTGCAATAAGAAAATCAGAATATGCTCAATGCGTGGTATGTGATAACTATTGATTATCAGTGTTGTTTTTGTGAGTGAATATACATCACTATGTGTAGCTTCAGGAATACTTTGGAAAGGAATGTTACTCCATACCCTGTTAGTGAGACTGGTGTTTCCATTTAAATCTTAAAATACCTCTTTAATTTTTTTCTTAAATGTTCTTGTGGCATATGCCTCTTATCTAGCTACTTGAGAGAGAGAGAGAGAGATTGGCAGGCTTTCAATTGAAGGCTGGCCCCGGCAAAAAGATAGTAAGACCCTATCTCAAAACCAAATCACTCTTCATGGAGCATTTCTGAAATCCCAGCTACCCAGGAGGCATAGATTGGATAATCCTGGACTGAGATCCTAGGGGAAAGATTCCATACCTTATGTAAAAAAAGAATAACTAAATCAAACAGAACTAGAGCATGGCTTAGAGGGCAATGTACACATCTAACAAGTGCTAGACCCTGAGTTCAAAACCTCACTATCACACACACACACACACACACACACAATCTTTTAAATTCAAGTTTATTCCATGAAATCCAAAGACAATTTATCCCTAGTTTATTAAGAAGGTGCAGTTCAAAATCAAATGTACCTATCTCTTCTGTGAGGTTTTCCATTTAACAATATTAAAATATTCATGACTATCAAATCCTTAAACTTTAACAGTTGAATAGCTATAGAATCAAACATGAGAAAACTGAAAACTATTTAATAAAATCATTCACTACTAGAGTCATTCTTCAACAACATTATTTGGAGGGTAAGTAATATTGGAATACATTGCATCTGTGTAGTTAGATGGTTTAATAAACCTCACTGAAAGAGGTCAGGGATGAAGAAAGACAGTAATAGTCAATCTGATTAAAGTACAGTATATGCATATATGATATACTATGGTGAAACCACCAATAAATCTACACTTAAAAAAAAGAATGTCCAGGAGTGGGTACCAAACTGAAAGGGTGAATATGGTTGGAGTATTTTACACTTCTGTGTGGAAAAAAAAATAGAACAAAAATGAAGTTGTTTTAAGGAAGAGAGAGAGAATGAGGGAGATAATGAAGGAAATGAGTCTAATCATGACATACTGTAAGCATATATGGGAAGGTCACAATGAAATCCCCCTGCCCAACCAATGTATGCTGATAAAAATGTTTAAATAAAAGAAACTTAAGCAAACTAAAAAATACATATTTGGATTACTTTCCAGAGGCCAGAATACTATAATTAGACATTTAAATGATAATTAAAATGTTATAGATCTGCAGGTATAGTTAGTAGCCCAAAACAAATTAATTGTGCTTTTGGTCTTCCTTTTTCTAAGTTTAAACAGCATTGCTGTTTTAGTAAATTCACTGATGTGTATCTCTACAGTTAGGAATCAGTCTACTATCCCGACAACTTTTCCTGTTCTTGGAATAACCATTCAAGCTGTTTTAAAATTCCCAAAGGCAATGGTTTGCAATACTGGGAATGGAACTGAGGGCTTCATGCTTGCTAAGCAAGTACACTACCATAGCAAAGATTTCTTGACTTGAGAAACCACCTTTGTGAAAACTTAGAACCAAAATTCTAATTACAAACCTTCAATGTGTCAACATACTTCTTCCCAATCAATTAGCATAAGGTTAAACTTGACAGCAGTCATGTGAACTCTGGTGAGTACATACCATCATATATTCAAGAGACTATAGCACTCACCCATGCATTTTCTTACAATTAAACCATACTAATAAATCAATAATGCAATTAAAGCATTATATCATAAAAACCATACTGATCATATTAATGAAAACCCAAACTTAGAGTTCGTTACTCCTAGAGAATATGACTATCTAAAGAAATTGAGCAGTCTTCAACAGGCTAAACAGATTTCCTAAATGTAATTCAGCTGGCTTACTATATGCTATCCTTATTGATACTTTGACACCTAAATGTGGGCTTGATATATGACAGACTTGATGTATATGAGAATAAATACTCTGTATTCTTCTTCATTTATAGAGAATATATATAATAAATAGCCTGAATCCTTCTTCATGTAGATTATATGTTCTATGTAGAATATATATGTAAAATGTAGGATATATATATATATATATATATATATAATCAATGCACAGACATACACTAATTTGAGCCAAAGTAAAAAAATATTAGTGCAGAAAGATTTTGCAAGTTCCATGTACCAAGTTCTGTAAATGCAGGGCAATGAATTGCAAGGAACTGAAGCACACAGCTGAAGATAGATACACGGAGCATACTTGACTCCTGTTTTCTGAATATTCAAAATGAAAAAAACAAACCTAGATAATCCCATAAAAGAAAAAAATCATAAAAATAACCTTAACATTACATCACAGTGAAAAGCTGCTTAATGAAGCTGTAAGGATGATGAATTAAAAAAAAGAAAAAAGCCCCTTAAAATGCCCAGGATTTGATCATGTACTCTGCAACCCTTCCGGTATTTTCTATCCCCCAAACCAGCAACTTGGGATTGTCTTTTCCATTAACCTTCCTTCCAAGTGTTACAATGCCTGGAACTAGAAATCTGGCTTCGGATTTCTGACATAGAAACCTTAATATAGCCTGAAGAATTTCCCTAAGCACATCAGCAGTAATCAAATTGCATGTTAACTATTAAATTACAGGCATTCAATTATTAAAAAAAAAAAAGAAAGAAAACGAAAACCCTCTGTTTAAAAATTCTAAAGACCCTTAGAAAATATCCTTAAACCGGAGCCGAAGCTGGCAAGTGAACCGGTTTACCTGTACAAGGAAATCCGAGATGGAGCCACACACGCGCGCACACACACACACACACACACACACACACACACACACACACACACACACCAAAGTGGCACGCGGTGTGCCCCATCCCCATTGTGGGGCACACATTCTTTGCAACGCTGTAGAACAAAACATGCGATTAGAGATGCTTCCAAGAGGAACGTTTGGGGCTGGGACAGAGACTTTTGACATTATTTATTAGGTTCAAAAATGCTTCACAAAAGCCCAACAATAGTTCTGTGGAAACCAGTCCATCTGAGGCCCTTTCTGTTGTTGTGCGCAGGCATTGAACGGAGGAGGGGCAGGGCTCCTGGAACAATTCCCTCCCTCCGCGGTCAAAGCAAGTGAGCATTCTTCACATTCACCACCGGCCTTTGGAGAGCCCGTGAACAAGCCTTATGGAACCCCCGGCGTGGGCGGGGGGGTGCTTCGGAGCAAACCTGTATTAACCTCTTGGAGGGAAAATGGGTACAAGCCCCACCCTGGAGTACAGGAAGGGGTGCTATTGCCAGATTGCTTGGGAGGGAGATGTCTGCCTTCAGCCTCCCTTCCTCTTGGAGATAAAGATGCTGAGGATGCTTGGCTAGCTTCTCTGGTGCTATGGTAACCTTGGCTTTCCCCAGTGCATGTCCAGTTGCCACGAGGTTCCCGCTTTGGAGATCTGGGTAGGTCCCTGCACCGGGTGTGGCTTCTGTACTGTCTTCCAGCTTGGGTTCTGACAAGGTCCGCTTGGTGTTCTGCTGGGTGCTATGGATCTGGTTCTTGCCACAGAGGCCAATGGCAGTGGAAGGCCTCTGGTTGGAAGCTGGAAGGTAAAGAAGGGAAGAATGAAAGGTCCAGGGCCTAGGGCAGGACCATTCTGCATCCGTTGGGACATGGAACAAAAATCTGTCTTGATGCTCAAGAAATCAACGTTGATATTGTAGGAAGAGAAATGGAAAGCCCCCAATAGTTACTTCACATATGTTCCCATATTTAAAAAATAAAACGAAAATATGAAGCCAGGTGCTGGGGCTCATGCCAGTGATACTAGCTACTCAGGAAGCTGAGACCTGAGAACTGCAGTTTGAAGCCAGCCTTGGCTTTAGGACATTCTATGAGACTCTTATTTCAAGTTAACCATCAAAGACCTGAAAATGGAGCTGTGGCTTTCAAGTGGTAGAGCACCAGCTCTGAGAGAAAAAAAAACTAAGGGACAGTGTCTAGGCCCTAAGTTCAAGTCCCAGTACCAGCATTAAAAAAAAATGATATCTTCTTAATGTCCAAATAACTTTTACAGAATTTTCAGAAAACTTAATTGGAAAGATAACCATTCAAAACAGAGCACATCAACTTCTAAATTTGGAGAGTTTGTGAATGGAACATTATTTTGTGGTTTTTCTACTCTATGTGTGAATCAAAGAATCTATGGCCTATTCAGTTGAGCAATGCATGGTTTGGAAAACAATCTAGTTACTTCATAGAGTTTATTAGAAATTGCAAATCAGCTCAAAGTAAAAACAGCCGATTAACCTAACACACTAAAACCCATTAACACTATTAACAGGCTTCATTTTTTTCTTTTGCTCCAGTAATTTTTTTCTGTATAAAAGATATGGTAACATGCGTGTGTGTGAGAGAGAAAGAGAGAGAGAGCGACAGAGACAGAGAGACAGAGAGTGTTGGTATTGGGGCTTGAACTCAGGGCCTCATGCTCTTGCTTCACTTTCTTGCTCAAGGCTGACACCCTGCTGCTTGAACCACAGCTTCCTTCTGGACTCAGTCTCTGGCAGAAGCTTTTCCACCCCTGTCCTTAACATTCTTGCTATAATGGTACATTCTGTAGTTCAAAGAAAGTTTCTTCTTTGTGTCAAGTGTCTCTCTACCCCTCCTCTCCTCTCTCTCTCTCTCTACCTCTCTCCCCCTCCTTCCCTCTTCACCTCCTTCTCTCTGTATCTCCCTCTCTCTCTCCCTCTCCTTCTCTCTCTCAATTGCAACAAACTATGCAAACACTTGGGGCGTAATCTCTACTCTAAAATTCCTTTTTGCAAAAGTTAGCTGACACCACCAGTTTAATTCTTCTCTGTGACTCTTTGTAGAAATTTAGAGATATGTATAATTTCCTTCCATTTTTCTCTTGTCAGGTATCATATAATCCCTACTGTGCTCAGGGAACTTTATCCTCTAGCTTACAAACAGGTCTTCAAAGTAGTCATAATCCTTAATTTACAGAGCTCAGCTGAGTTCAGCAAACATTTATGGGAGTTTATCACGACTGTAGAACTGATGTGGGGGATAGCTTTGACTTGATTTACGTCTTTTGTGACTCCAAAACCTATTGCTTTGGTTTATTTCTTGACTCTTAATGATTTTTTCTGAAAGGATGTATGACTGGGAGACACATCATACACCTTATCCCATGCTATGAATTCATGGTTTCCTTATCTGTGAAATGGAGATTGCTAACATCTGCTTAAGCATTAGGTGGAGATTTTGTAAAAATCATGTAAAATGATCACACCAACCTAAGCACGTGAGAGCAGCTTAAGAAATGGGGATTGAAATAATGATAATAACTGTCACTATCATTTATCTGGGTGATACTTGAATCATCAGGTTACTTATACCTGATCTCTCCTTCGATGCAATGCTTGGCCATGCTGTTGTAGACTCTCATTAAAAATCAACTGACACTGTTCCTGTAACACTTTCTAGAACATGGCATACCCCTGGCTCAGTCATCAATTCTGCTTATATGAAGCTAAAAATAAAAAGTGATATAAGACTACAAAAGTTAAGAACCACAATTTGACCTACCAGTATCTCCCTTGGAATTGCTTTGGGGCTGCTTATGAAGACTTAGATGTCTACCTGCAGCCTCCAGGTGGATAGGTTTTGGTAAGGGTGGTCGAAGAGGCCTATTTGCCATTTGGTTTTCCAAATATGGACTGCTCCAGGCCTTCTTGGGGATTTCTTTGGTTTTCTTCTTATTTTTTCCAACAGTGACATTCAATGAATTCTCATCCATCTCACTGGATGGAGTAGGAGAGGGACAGGCTCCTCGATAGCTTTCTTCATCCAAACAAACTATGTTCTCAGTAAGCTTGGGGATTACGTACTGGGTAGTATTAAGTAGTCTTTTACATGCAATTGGACCTCGAGTCCTTTCTGGAAATACCATAAAAAGTAAATATATTAGCTTAAAAGAATTCATTTCTTTGTTACCTACTAAATTAGTGAGCAAAAGGATGAGGGGCAGAAAAATGAGAGAGAAAGACAGAAAGGGTGACACTGATCAAGATGCACTGTACTCATAACCTGACTTCTGGAATTGTAACCTACAACTACTTAATAATAACATGGTTTTTACAACTCCTTACTAATATCTTTAAAAAAAAGAATGGAAATAGATACTATATCAATGTTTGTTTTGTGTTTCTACACTGGGCCAATAGAAATGACAAAGCCAAAGGACTGAGGTACCTGCATGGTTAAGAGGAGGAGGAAAAATGGTGAAAAGGAGGCCAAGGTATGATGATGTTTTGTTGAGTATAAGTTACGTTGCTGGTGCTACGTGAAACTCTACATGTGCTTCTCATTAGTCCTCACAAGATCCAAGCAGGAATGATGATCAGTTACAGTATACAGGTCAGGAAACTAGTTGGAGGCTTATGTTAAGTATACTATAACTCTCCAAAATGAACCCAAACCTACTGCTCAAGATATTCTCAGAAAGTGAAAAAGGTCTCCTTTGTATAAAACTGCTCTAGAATATTAGATAAAAATATTATAAGATGTAACAAGTCCAGTGAAAGGCAAACCATCCTGCTTTGGTTCTTTTGTTGTTGTTATTGTTCTTAAATTGTTATTATAAAGGTGACTTACAGAGGGGTTGAAGTTACATAAGTTGGGTAATGAGTACATTTATTTTTGAAGAGTGTCATTCCTTCCCCCTCTCTCTCCCAGTTTTTCCCTCCCATCCCCATCCACAAGTTGTATAATTCATTTTAAACATCATGTCTAGTGAGTCCCACTTTGATTCTCATCCAGCATCTGAGATGAGTTCCTTTACCTAATTCACATCTACTGAGAAACTGATAGCTACTGGTCCATTTTAGCCATTCATGCCTATATTTTTATATTCCTTTATACAAAGTGAACATGGGAAAGAGTTTCCAAAAATCAAAACCCAGCAGAGTAATGAACTGGTGATGGAGGGAAAAGCCAAGCAGAAAGATGTAGTAGTAGCCTCTGTGGAGTGTACAAATGGATGGAAAATATACAGGTGTGTGTGTGAGTGTGTGCACACATGTGTGTGAAACCTAGGATTTTAATTCAAAATCATTGAGGGCTCTTGGTATAAGACGTGTATTAAGGAGGACACTAAACAACCAATGATTCATTTGCCTCTATCTTATTACCAAATTCAATTTTTTTAAACTCTCCTTTCTGTGTAAATACAAAAGTGAATTAAGGCTAATTTCAAAGATAGGATATCATTCTAATAATAGAAAAGTACACAAATGTATGTACCAGCTCTATGGCTTCGTGAAGTTAATGTGAATCCTGAATTTTACAATTCACTACTGTGTAGCCTTGAAAATTTTTCCTTAATTTTACCTTACTTCAGTTGTATGTTTATAAAACAATATTAATTATGTGTACCTGCTAGGAATACTAGAAGAAATAGATAATACATGTAATGTGTTTGCGGTACAGTTGGTCTATAGAAAGCAAAAATGAATGTAAATATTATATACTAAATTGGAGTTTATGTGGAAGAATATTTATTAAATATAAAGATAACTCAAAAAGCTGGGAGAAAAATGAAGCAAATTAAATTGCTTCTTGGTGTATAATTCAAACCTTAAACAATTATAGGATGTTCAAATTATTCTTATAATCCAGAAAGTACCTTTATTTAAACAATAAAGATAAACCTTAGCTTAAAAATAAGTTAGCATTCCCATTGTGAATTTATTTAATGAGATTGTTTTTCACCTAGTAGTGAGATGAGATCATCCATTAGGGAAACAGGACAAGGACGTAGCAATTTCTAAAACATAGGGTCTGGGAGGTGGGATTTTGAGTGCAGTGATTTGGACAAATGAAGGCCAATTTGTAGGAAATCACTGGAGCCATAGTAGTGATCAAATGACCTAGACTACTGCAGAATAAAATATCTCCTAAAAGATAAGTTGAAGTCCTAAACCTTAGTACCTGTGAATGTGATCTTATTAAGAAATAGGGTCTTTGCAGATGCTTTCAAGATGAGATTACTGTGGTGATACTAATCCAGTATGATGGGAGATAGCAAAGACACAGACACACACAAGAGTACCATGGCCAGGCACCAATGGTTCCCACCTGTAATCCTAGCTACTCAGGAGGCTGAGATCTGAACATTGTGGTTCAAAGCCAGCCCAGGCCAAAAACTCCCCAAGGGACTCTGATCTTCAGTTCACCACTAGAAAAACCAGAAGTGGCACTGTGGCTCAGGTAGAACATTAGCCTTAAGCAAAAGAGCCCAGGGACAGCACCCAGACCTTGAGTTTAAGCCCTATGACCAACAACAACAACAACAAAAAGGATACCATGGGTTGAGGGAGGGATACACTTGCAAGCCAGGAAGGGCTGAGGTCTGTTAGCAATGAGTAGATGCTTAAAAAAAAAGGCATTGGATAGTCTTAGTCAGAACCTCCAGGCAAAGCCAAACCAGCTAAACAATTTAGATTTGGGGGATAGAAAAAGAAAAAGAAAAGAAAAAGGAAGACAATGCAAGGTGGTGTGGATAGAAGCAGGATGAGATGAGTGTTGTGAGATCTAGAGTGTACCAACTTGTAAATGATCCAGTCCCTGTATTCAAAGCAGTCAGGTGGCAAAAAAGATGCCGCTGGCCCTGCCGTAGACACAAGGAGACGTGTCCTACAACACAACCACTTCCTCTGAAGAAAGACAAACAAAGCAAATGCCCTATTCTAGAGAGAAAGCCATGTATGGATATCCTGGGTCCACATTTTCCATTAGAAGAATCAGACACCTTCCAACTCTTTTATTGCTAGAAAGAAACGAAGAAGGAGAATTTGCTTAATGTTGCTAACTACTCAATCTTTTTCAAACATACAACATGAGACGCACAAGTCATAACTTCTCTTTCAATCCTTACAGACTACCAATTTGTATTTTTGGCCTCTGGCCCGCACTATAAAAGTCTATCATTTATCTTCTTTCTGTATCTGTACATGTTTTGTATAAATATTCAGCCTGAAATAATGGAAATGCATTGTCAAGGCCTATGTACATGCAAATCTTTGAACTCAAGAAACCTGGTCTACTTTTGATACTGTAGATTGAGCATCTCATTTTCATGTTAATTGGCTTGTCTCATTTCACCACAAAAACCACAATTTGAAATGGTAGACAAATTCATCCAATGTTCTCAGATGAAGAGTAAACATCTAGAGTCTTTCAAAATAGCAGCATTGGGTCTTGTGGTTCCAAAGGAACACAAACACTAGAACAAATGTCACTCGGTCTAAACTTGTCCACATCTAAAACAAGATGGAAGGCTTAATTAAAAGTTATCTAGGGTTAGGCCCCCACAACTCTCAACTCCAACCTCTACTTAAGTAACTCTAAGGACTGGGCCTTCATATTTTTGCATCAAAGATTTAACTACTCTGCAGAAGAGAAATTAACTTTCTATTCACTTTATATTCACAATATATAGGAATATACATATATGTATATGTATATCTACATAAATGTGGATGTGTAGGAAACAATAAAGTCAACATGTATGATTGTCAACATAGATGGTGATTATGCTTATTTAGTTATTGTGTTAGTTACCTATTTTATCAATGATAAAGTTTTTTTCCCTGAACTTTACAAATTTCCTATCCCAGATAATAGCAAAAGTTAGGCAAAAATCTCTACAGCTCATTACTTGAAGTGTGGTACTTCTTGTGCAATAGTGTATCTCCTGTGTCTGATTCAGTATTTTGTAACCCCTGCTACACATTGGACAATACCTGGCATGCTTTTCAAAAGAGCCATACTCAGTCCTGCCTGTAACTAATCAAGACTTTTGTAATCCCTTTAATGATGAACGTGAATCAAAGCTGGGCACCAGTGGTTCATGCCTGTAATCCTAGCAACTCAGATGGCTGAGATATGAGGATTGGGGTTCAAAGTTAGCCCAAGTTGGAAAGTCCACGAGACTCTCCAATTAACTACCAAAAAAAGCAGGAAGTGGAGCTGTGGCTCAAGTGATAGATCACTAGCCTTGAGCATAAAAGCTCAAGGACTGTGCCTAGGCCCTCAGTTCAAGGCTTAGGATAGGCACAAAAATACAAAACATAAGACAAAGATAAAGTATATAATAAGGAGAGGGCTAGAAATATTGCTCAAAGTGGACTCACTTGTTAGGATGCACAAGGTCCTGGGTTTGATCCTCAGAACCACAAACACATGTATAATCAGGATTATGAATGTCAGGTCCTTCTAATACTACTAACCACTCCATTCCCCGAGGCCGAAGTACAGTGTGAAGACTCCAGTCCCAGCTTACCCTCCTCCTTCCTGTGGTGCCACACCTTCATCCACACCCTCAGCCTTACTGGGAGGCAGTTAACTCAGAAGATCTCAAGCCCAAGGGCACAGATCATAGCCTGCTGTTGTTCATTTTTAACTTCCAAATATGCAGCTCAGGTTGCAATTTAAAAAACACTAGTCTAAGAATATGAGCTTTTTGATTATAAAGAATTCACTGGTAGGCTGAATAAATCATAAACCATCAGGCCTTGGCGTTAGCATCTTTCAAAGAATCTAAATCACCTCTAAAAACTCCAACCCTGAAAATGAGTCATTTTTTTAAATTACGTGGAACAATATTTAAATACCTCATTTATTTTTGAAATATTACCATTCTGTACATCAAAAGTAGTCACAAGTGGGTAGTTTCATATATCATAACATCATAAATACACAGCAGTATACATAATGTATGTAATTTTTTTTTTTTGGTCTGTCATGGGGCTTGAACTCTGGGCTTGGGCGCTATCCCTCAGCTCTTCAGTTCAAGGCAAGCACTCTACCACTTAAGCTACAGCGCTACTCTGGTTTTCTAGTGGTTTATTGGAAATAAGAGTCTCACAGACTTTCCTGCCCAGGCTGG